TACCACTCACCCTCACATTATTAGCGAAAATGTAGTCAGGTGGCCACAGCAGGAGAAATGTAGTCTCTATAGGACACCTATGTGCCCTGTTCAATGCTGGAGGCTTGTTACCACAGAAGAGGGGAGGGCAAGTGTCAGGTGCCCCCAGTATCTTTGTCCCATGGCCCGGATGCTCCCGTTGGTAGGTAGGGCAGCTGCTGGCTTCATACAGCCACCCAGTGGCACCCAGTGTACCCAGTGGTACAGCCACCTCCTGGCATCATCAAGGCCGGCCTGTCCATGTCGGCTGCATAGACATAAACCACTCTGCTCTCAGTGTCAGCACACGGTGGGTGTTTACGAAATGTTTACTGTCCTACCAGGTGAGGACGAGAGGATGGAGCCAGGATCCCAGTCAACCTTCCAAGAGGCATGCTTCTCTCCTGGCAAGCACTGCCCTGTTTCCTTGGCCCCAACACTGCCACCAGCTCCTATATCAGCACTTTGGGCTCAGGGCTGGCAAGGGACACCACTGTCTAAACTATGTCGCTGCCTTCCACCTGGGCACTCCCACCTTGTGTCACCATGGGGCACTGCTGGAGCCAGTCCAAAGTAAGGCCCAGGCAGGTTGCCCGAGGTCAGCCACAGGTCCTGGGGGCTGGGAGAGCCTGGGAGCTCCTGGAGGAAGCCAGGGTCAGGGCAGGGTTGGATTTCCACTTCCTCGGGGGTGGGAGCAGGAGCCACTTGGGCACAGCAGCACTGCTGAGCTCAGGTCCCTTGAGGTAGGACCGCCACTCCCCAGTATGTGGTACTGAGCCTGAGCTGTGCTGGGTCCCAGCCAGCACTGGGTGAATGAGTGAGAAATGTGCCCCTTGAGGGCTGTGCCCAAGCCCCCTCAGCATCGGGAGATGTCAGACCCCACGAGGCCTTCATCTCACGCCAGCCATGCTCTAGGGTTCCCCATCCAGCTCAGTCCAACCTGAGCACTGATTGACATTGAATCTATCGGGTTTCCCTCATCCTGGCCATGGGTGACCCCATTCTGACCCCTGCGGGCCCAGAGTAGGGCCATGGGGCTCTAAGGACCATGGCCATCAGCCTGCACGCCTGGTCTGGCCTGCTCTGTGTTGCTTCAGGACAGTGAGGAGAGCAGGCTGTGTGTGGCCTGCCACAGTGCCCCTGGGGGGCCAGAAAGTGGCTTCTGTGAAGCAGCCGAGGACACAGACGTCCCTGCACATGCACACACTCACACATATGCATCCAGCCCAAGGCCTGGTGGCTCTGGCTCTGGGCTCTGAATCCTGAGATTCGGGCTGCAAGCCCCGCACCCCAGCTGTTGGGACCGGCCAAGCAGCTGAACTCCTCTGAGCTTGTCCCCTTCTGGGAAATGGTGCTCACCTGGGGCCAGCCTCGGGGCTGGGCCGTGGGAATTCAGCCAATAAGACTGGAGCCAGGCTCGGTGAGGCCCCGCGCGCTACAGTCCTCTGGCCATGGGCTTGGCAGCCGCTGCCAGCCTTGACAGGGAGAGGGTCCGTGCCAGGTAATGGTCCCAGGTGCCCCAGCTTGGGGGCAGGCGGTGGGGGGGGATGCAAAGCTGGTTCCGCCCACGGCACCCCCCCACCCCCATGCCTAGGCCCCTGTGCCTGTGTCTCACAGCCCCACACCCCCGCACCAATTAAAAGCACTTACTCACAGTGCCACCTGCGCGTCCTCAGCAGCGGAAGGAAGAACAGTCTTGATGCCCAGCTGCCCGCTCCCAGCTGCCTGCTCCCCCTCCCTCCAGTGTGGCTGACTCAGGGACTGTGGGAGCAGACCCGCAGGTGTGGACACAGACCTGGAGTTGCTGGCTTCTGAGGCCCGCCGGGCTCTGGGGGGAGGCAGGTGGGCAGGGGGCAGGGGACAAGTTTACAGTCAAAGAGATGGAGTTTTGGCACAACTGTCCCTCAGAGCAAGAAGGAGAAGCCAAAAAAAAAAAAAAAAGAAGAAGAAGGAGAAGCCATGCTCCTCTGCAAAATAACATTTATTTACCAACTGGTCTTTTGTGCCAGGCGCTGTGCACCACCACCATTCAGCCCTGACAAGACCCCTGTGAAGACAGTGTACCACAAAAAAAAAAAAAAAAAAGACAGTGTACCAGTTATCTGCTGCTGCAGGATAAATTATACCACACCTTGGTGGTTTTAGAACAACAAATGTGGATGAATTCATACCATGTCTGTGGGTCAGGAATACAGGAGAAGCTTAGCTGGGACATCTAGCTCAGGCCCTCTCTTCGGGATTGCTCAGGGTCTCAGCTGGCTGGAGGACTGTGACATCCGTTTCACGGTGTCTCACTCGTGTGGCCACCCAGTCACGGCCTCAGCTCCGACGACTACTTGGGCTTCTCTGTAGCTTGGCAACTGGGTCCCCAGAGCCAGTGTCTTAAGTAAGCAAGACAGCAGAGTGGCATTTTCATGACCAAGCTTCAGAAGATCACATACGACCCCAAGCCTTTCCAGGGTCTAGGAGCAGGAACATAGCAGAGGTTGCCATAGAATTAGGGCCATGACTTAAAGCCATCCGCTCCCATGTGGCAGACGAGGAGGTGACCTGTCCCAGGTCTTGCAGTTATTGGAAGCTTGGGTGTCTGACTCTGGTCCAGTGCTTGGGTGGCTGGCCATTGGAAGCACATTCAGGCTGCCTGCAAATCCCAAATTCAACCTCTGACAAGGGGACCACTCCAAAAAGTGGGCAGGGAGCAATTTCTGAAGTGACTCAATCCCAGAGTGGCTCCTGCTATTGGGTCCTCGGTCCACACTTTCTGGTTCCACTTGCTGAAAAAAACCCGAGTCCTGTCCTGTTCTGAGCAAGAGTGAGGCTCTGCAGGTCTCCACAACAGCTGAGAGCTTTTCTGGCTGGAGCCCAGAGCCAGATACATCCCACCCCTTGATGGAAGGTGTTGTAGCCAAAGACATAAATCCTGGAATTGCCTGGGGCTGTTGGGTCCTACCTCTGCCACTGGCCAGTTGTAGGACCCTGGGTAAGTCACTTCACTGTTAGGAGCCTTGCTTTTCTTCTCCGTGAGAAGGGAGTACTTGCCATCCCTGTGGGCCAGAATCTTTGGGTGGCAAGAGGTGGAAACCCACCACCAGTTGATCTGGGAAGAGAGGAAATTTGTGGCTCCCTGAGCTGGCCAGTCTTAGCTCAGAACAAGCTCAGTCTTGGCTCAGAAGGAGGTGCCTCCCAGGCCATTTTTCTGGCCGGCAGTTTCACCCCACATGGTGGCAGGGGGGTCACCAGCTGCTCCTAGCTCCCGTGCTACTAGCTGAAGAACTCGAGGAAAAGCCAAAGGCCAAAAAAAGTCCCAGGACTGAGTCTCATTGGCCAGCTACGCCCTGGGCAGAGATTGGGCTCTGACTGGTAACGGTCACCATATCATGACAGTTGAGCTGGTGACCCCATCCTGACCCCTCCTCTCCCAGGAGCCCTCCCACACACACCCCTGCCCACGCCCAGTGGAGCCTGCCTGCTGGCCAGGCCCCAGACCCGAGCCTTCTGTATTCATCCTGTCCAGGAGGGTGCCATCGGCAGTCTGCCCTTGGCTGTCCTGCTTCCTGTGGGCCCACAGAGAAAGGGCAGGGGGGACAATGGGGAGGATAGAGGTGGGGACCTCCCACCCCTGCTGCCTCTCTGATCCACATGTTCTGGGAGTGCAGTCCCTGCTCAGGCAACAGTGCCACAGAGGGGCCCTTCCTCTGGGCCAGCTCATCAGGCCCCCTGCCTTGCCCTGGCCCAGAGCCGCTTCCTGGTGCTATGTGTGGACGGACCCCCTCCCATTCTTCTCAGCTGACCCTCTGTGCCTTCTGCCCACACTGGGATCTTAATTGGCCAACTTCCCTTGGCTTTGCTCCTGAATGGAACTCAGGATGATCTGAATCTTGCTGCCACTGAAACTGTGGCCGGGTCTTCATAGCTTAGTGGTTGGGTCAGGACACAGCTGACACACCCTCCCATCTTGGAACCCTGCTGCCTCCCCGTATGGATGCAGGAGGCTGATTCTCTTGTGTCCTCTCCATCCCCAAAGAGACTAACATCGGCCCTCCCAGAATTCAGCAGTAGCTAGGTTACCATGGCAATGCCCATTATCCTTGCCTAACAGAAGATGAATCAGGAGCTAAAAATAGGCCTCCAGAGTGGGTGGGTGGATGGGTGGATGGATGGATGGATGGATAGATGGATGGACGGATGGACGGGTGGATGGATGGATGGATGATTGGATGGACAGGTGAATGGAGGGAGGGAGGGAGGGAGGGGTGCGTGGGTGGATGGATGGAAACGTGGATGGGTAGATGGATTTTGGGTGGATAGATGGAGGGCTGGATGGGGAGAGGGAAGTGTGGATGGATGAATGGAAGAGTGGATGGGTGGATGGGTGGATGGATAGAATTGTGGATGGATGGATACATTGGTGGATAGAGGGATGGAGGGATGGAGGATGGGAGGGACTAGATTCAGGGTCAGAACAGCTTGTTTTTCCCAGACAAGATATTTCCAGGAAAATCTCAATAAGAAGCCCCCCCTCCAACACACACACACACACACACACACACACACACACACAGGACAGGGCTGGGAGGCTTTGGAAGTGTGGTACTTCCTCCCCTGACAGTGTGTAGCATGGTAGGTCCTTGCAAAGCTGCAGGCTAAAGGCACCTGTGTCCCTGCCTGGCAGCCTCTCCCCACTGGAGCCTGGCCGATGCTGATTGCAGGCAGTGGGTCACAGAAGGCCAAGGGGAGGCCACTCAGGGTGGGGGCAGCCACGGCACCCTCTGGCCCTTCCTTCCATGGAGCACTGCCTCCTGGCACCCTTACATTCCTGAGAGGATACTTCCTTCAGTACAGGAGGCTAAGAGGCTCCATGTCCCAGTGTGGGGGATGGGAAGGGGCAGGCTTGCCTTCTCCAGCCCTCCAGAGGGTGCAGTCCTGTGCTGCAGGGGTGGGGAGGCCAGTGTGGGCACAGTAAAGGCTCAAACTGCTTTGAGGATGGAGATGACACTTTATTCTGCTTCAGCCCCACCTGCGGACTCCACAGGCCTGGGTGCTGAGGTTGGAGGGAGCAGAGACCTGGGGAGGAAGGCAGGGGGCACAGAGGGATCTTGACCAGGGGTGAGGGCATCTGGGGGCATCTCAGGATTTCCTCCATAACTGGAACGCAGGACCCTCCTCAGTGAAGATCAGGTGTAAAGCAGGAATCCCCCACGCCGAAAGCTTCCCCTCATTTTGGGGGCTGAGCTGCCAGGCCTCCCCACTCCACCATTCTACACTACCTGGCTGGAGCAGAGCCAGGCATGGGGGCCATCGTGACACCCCCACACCTTCAGCTCCTGTTTCAGGGATCCCCAGGCCTGGATCTGTCCAACCTTCAGCTTTGGGGGTCCCGGAGGCTAGCCCAAGCAACAGGGTCACAGGGGGTCAGAGGTGGGTCCGGGTGGGCACAGGAGGACTCTGGAAGATGGGGTGTCTAAGGGACCTCCAGGGTGCTGGACACAGAGACTGGCTGCACTCCCGGCTGCCCCAGCCTCTGGGGGCAGGCCTCGTGGGTGTGGGTGCTGATGCCTCTCGGAGGAAGCTCCTTGTGGCTGTAGTACTCCACCACCTGCCTGGGCACCTCGGCCAGCACACACTTGGCCAGCGCTGCTGGGGATGCCTGCAGAGCGGGGACAACATGGTTACAGCTGGGGGCTCTCTCGACCCTCTTGCCCCCCAGGTGATTACATCCCAGCCTCATCCCTGGAGCTGTGGTCACCACCGCCTAGCAGAGCTGGAACCCGTCCCTCAGCTGACCAGCAAGTCTCCTGGTGGCCAGGTGAGACTTTGTAAGGGATATGGACCTAGGAACACGAGGCTGCAGCGCCCCACACCTGTGGGCATGGGGTGGGGGCCTCGCTGGGCTCCAGGCACTGTCCCAAGTGGCACCTGCACCCACGTGATCATCGTGCCACCCCTCGGGCACCCAGGGCAAGCCTAAGGCAGGAAGGAAGTGGGTTGCCCCCTCCCCCGGCCCCATAAAGCCCCGTGAGTATGTCCACAGGCCATGAACGTCCTTTGTGTGCCTCACAGAGGGTCTGAAATTGCCTCCGGGGAGCCCACCAGCTTCTCCCCTGTGAGTAGGTTCGATATTTTCAAAATGGGCAGGTTTGTAGATGCTGGAAAGCAGCTGAAGTCCTGCTCCGGCCTGGGAGCCTGAGTGGCAGGCCCTCGACCCCCACTTTCCCCAGCACTCACACTCTTGAGCTCCCGGAAGGGCACAAACTGCACGATGTCACGGAGCGCTGGCTCGCCCCGGGGGGAGCGCAGGACACCATCGTCCCCGTCCAGGGTCTGCATATCCGTGAAGTCAGCATTGCCCACCCCCACGATGATGATGGACATGGGCAGGTGGGAGGCACGCACGATGGCCTCCCGCGTATCAGCCATGTCGGTCACCACTCCATCAGTCAGGACCAGCAGAATGTAGTATTGCTGGGGGACCAGGGAGAGAGTGTGCACGGGGACCCCACCCCTTCCTCGGGCCCTTAGGGGCTGCCTGGGGGCCCCTTAGGGCCGTACCCACCCCCCAGGCAGCCTCCAGGCCCCAACCAGCTCCCCTCCCGCAGACAGCCTGGAACCCACTGCAGACATCTCTAGCTGGTGGTTTTCAGGCTTTTCTGAAATTGTGTTTTGTTAAAGTGTGTTAAAGTGTAATATATCACAACCGTGATACATCAGGAGCTCATGTACTGTGGCATACTCTGTGCTGGATGCTGAGCTTCCGTCTTCCAACCTGTCCCACCTCTGCCTCTTAGAGATGGACAGGCTGATGCTGGTGGAGCCTGGGTCTGAAGCCAGGTCTGAGGCCAGAGGACGAACCTGTGGGCTCTTGGTGGACATGACCTCCCATACCCCAGAGGGACCCTGGGATCCAAGGAACAATTTAGAGAGGACACACTCTGGTCCAGCCTGGCCAAGTGCACAGGACACATTGGGACTTGTTTCATTTCCTTTGTTGAAAAAAAAAAAAAAAGAAAAGGGGCACCTGGGTGGCTCGGATGTTGTCTGCCTTCGGCTCAGGGTATGATCCTGGGGTCCTGGGATTGAGTCCTGCATAGGGCTCCCCTCAGGGAGCCTGCTTCTCCCTCTGCCTATGTCTCTGCCTGTCTCTTTGTGTCTCTCATGAATAAATAAATTAAAATAAATAAATAAATAAATAAATAAATAAATAAATAAATAAAATATTAAAAAACAACAACAACAACGAGTTTGGGGCTCAGTTGGTTAAGCATCTAACTCTTGATTTTGGGCAGCCCAGGTGGCTCAGTGGTTTGGCGCCACCTTCGGCCCAGGGCGTGATCCTAGAGACCCGGGATCAAGTCCCACATGGGGCTCCCTGCATGGAGTCTGCTTCTCCCTCTGCCTGTGTCTCTGCCTCTCTCTCTGTCTCTCATGAATAAATAAATAAAATCTTTTAAAAAAAAAAACACTCTTGATTTTGACTCAGGTCATGACCTGAGATTCAGCCCCATGTTGGGCTCCGCAGTTAGAGTGGAATCTGCTAAAGATTCTCTCTCTTAAAAAAAAAAAAAAAAAGATTCTCTCTCTTCCTCTGCCCACCCCCCACTGCATTCTCTCTCTCTCTCTCTCTCAAGACACCTTGGGTGGCTGGTTTGGTCGATGGGGCATGCAACTCTTGATCTCAGGGTCGTGAGTCTAAGCCCCACACTGGGTGTAGATTACTTACAAAATAAAATCTTTACAAAACAAAGCAAGCAACCCCCTCATAAAAACAGAACTACTAAAAATCAGTACTGAAAATCTGGACAAGAGAAAACAAAGAGGAGAAAAAAAGAAGCCCCTGGCCCAGTGGGCACCAGCACTGCAACAGCATCTGAGGGCAAAGAGCCAGGGGCAGTCCAGCAGGGTCACCTCTGCCAAGAGGCCCCTGCCACCCCAACCCCACCTCTCCCTTGAGCCCCAGACCCACAGGAGTACTGACCAGTCTGGGGACCCCTGGCTGGACCTAGCCCAGCTCTTGGACCTCCTCCTGCCACCCAGACTAGTTCCAGTGCCACGGACACCTCACAGCCCAGAGCTGTGCCCAATATTCAAACACTGGGCTCCCAGACAGAGCATAGGCCTCCCAGGGTCAGGGAGCAGGGGACTTCCAGTCCCAGGAAGTCACACTGCTTCCCCTCAGGATGGAGAGAGATGGGCAGTAGGTCCCAGGTTACCCAGCACCTCCCCACAGTACCAACGCTGGTCCGGGGGATGTTATTGGACAGCCCACAAAAACCTCCCCAAAAGTGTCTTGGTTAAGACAGAGGCTCCAGGAGGCAGGAAGGACTGAGAGGGACCCGGGGACACGCCCACCACCTCCTGGGAAGTTGGCCCCTGTTTGCAGGAATCAGACTAGAGGGCGCTGAATGCCACTGAAGGGCAGGGTCAGCCAACTCCAGACCAGGAGACCCGACAGGACACACAGCCCAGGTTCCCCTGCAGCTATACACCAATCGCATTGGGGGCCATTTACCCCAGTTCTGCCCGTAAGGACCATCAGCTGGACAGGTGCATGCTACCTAAATATTTCATATTCATATTTAAATGCCTCAGAGTTACTGTGGTCTTTCAGGTGTGCTCATGGCACTGGGGCTTGATTTCACCTCTTCTAGAGTCTTACGGTGATATTCAGAGATGGTTATGTGTCTGGACTTGCTTCAAAGTCATATGGGAAGGTGCCTGCTATTTCTGATCCTGACTGGATCCTGTGCCAGAAATAATAGTGCTACGGAATTGGGGCACCTGGTGGCTCAGTGGTTAAGGATCTGGTCATGATCCTGGAGTCCAGGGATCTAGTCTCACATCAGACTCTTTGTGTAGAGCCTGCTTCTCCCTCTGCCTGTGTCTCTGCCTTTCTCTCTGTGTCTGTCATGAATAAATAAAATCTTAAAAAAATTTTTTTTAAATAGTGCTATGGAGTTATTACTGGGAAGGTAATGATATTGGAATATATCCTATAGATTAAAGTACTCTATCTAAATTAAATTTCCTGGGGCAGCCCGGGGGACTCAGTGGTTTAGCGCTGCCTTTAGCCCAGGGCCTGATCCTGGAGACCTGGGATCAAGTCCCACATCAGGCTCCCTGCATGGAGCCTGCTTTTCTCTCTCTCTGCTTGTGTCTCTGCCTCTCTCTCTCTGCCTCTCATGAATAAATAAATAAAATATTTAAAAAATAATAAAAATAAATTAAATTTCCTGAAATTGGTATTTGTACTATGATTATATAAGAGAACACACAGAAATCAGGAAACATACAGCAAAGCATTAAAGGTCACAGGGCAGGAGGCTGCAACCCTCGGATTCTGGACCTTCTGGGCCTGGGAGAGAAAGTGAGGATGTATGGCAGCCCCAACACGGGGTGAGAGCCAGTTCAAGCCATGGGAGGATGGTTGGCTGGTGTCTGGCCAATGGCAAGTCACAAGGACAGAGTAAGGCTGAGGGACAGTACGGGTCAAGAGCCCAGGACCCCAGGCAGATCCAGGGCCATGGGCAAACACGGACACATGGGAAGGGCGAGATAAGAAGGGGTGTCCTTCAAGGCCCTGGGCTTGAAAGCAGAGCTGTGCTTGTGCACAGAATGTCCCCACTGTGGCAAGAGGAGTGTCAGGAGGCCAGCTCCAACTCTCAAATGGTTCAGAAGGAAGTAATGTAGTAACAAACACACATGAAGAGAGGGAGGGACCAGGAGGGAGAAGAGGGGTGGAGGCTTCAGGGCCCTCCTGCATCCCCAGGGCTCCTCAGCTCTGCACCCTCAGCCTCCCTGACCTCCATGCCCCAGCCCACACACCACAGCCCCCATGTCCTGGTCCCCCAGCGGCACACACCACCTTCTGGTACACCGGTTCCCACTGCACCACCTGCCCCAGGTACCTACGGAGGCCTCCCCAGTGTGCTCCTCGGCCGCTGCCATGCGGGCCACCTTGGAGATGATGGGAGCCACATTGGTGGGGCCATAGAGCTGTACCCTGGGCAGGCAGTTCTGGTAGGCTTCCACCACACCCTGGATTCCTGTGGGGGAAGGAGCGTGAGCCGGGTGTGGGTTCACTACCCCACCCCCCCAGGCCCACCTCAGGCCCCTACCTTCACACTCATCGTCTTCGGGATTGAAGTTGATGGCAAAGTCGTGGGACACCTGGGTGGGTACAGAGGGGCTTCAGCTAGGCTACCCCTCCAGGACGCCCACCCCATACCTACTGAGGTAGGTAGGTTTGCAGCCCCTGGAGCCCCCGTGTGGACAGAGTCTCATGGAGGGAGTCGCCTGGAACAGAGGGCAGGCTGACCTGTCCCTCAGCCCCTGCAGGCCTGAGGCTTCTGAGTAGCACTAAACCAACAGATCCCTCCTGCCACTATGTTTTTCCGCTTGAGCCAGTTGAACTGCTCTTTGCAACTGGAAGATTCCAGACTCCTTCCCCTTCTTCTGACAGGGACACAGTTTCTTTTCAGCTCTCCAGGGCCACTAGTGCTAGGTGAGCAAGGTCAGCCTCTCTGGCAGGAAGCACAGAGTCCCTGCAACGGGCCCACTGCCTGTTACATAGGAACCAGTTCCCAGCAGCCAAGGGGTCCCAGGACCCAGGACAGCCTCTGCTGGGGAGAAGCTGCGTGGCCCTGGAGGCCTCAGCAGGTACAAGGGGCTGGGGTCCCACTCCCCAGGCTCTCCTACCTCATACTTGGGAGGGATTCGAGCTCCAAACCCCAAAGCAGAAAATCTCTTGTCGCTGGAAGAGAGGTGGCCCCATCACACAGGGGTCCCTGATTTCCTGGGGGTAGGGACGGGGGTGCTTTGGGGAGGTATCCACCAGGACCAAGAGAGTGGGGCTTGATTCCACCCCTGTGTGACCAGGCCCACCCTGACACTTTCCTGGGCGCCCAGTCCCACTTCGCATCACATGGGGAACACTGAGGCAGTGCACGAAGAAGACAGTGGCCTCCAGTGGTGGGGAGAGCCGCCTTCTCCTTCTCCAAGCCTGTGCTCTGAGACCACAGCCTGACCCTGGGAAGGACCGGCCTCTTGCCTTTGGTACCTCAGCTCTCTGCCACCCACCCTCTCACAGAGGGGTCTACCCCACCATGATCTTAGTTACCCAACTGTAAAGTGGGCCACAGACCGCCCCCCATGTTTGTGTGAAGGAGAACACGTGAGGGGCAGCCCCACTGTAGCACATGGGGGTTCTGACTCATGCTTCACCTCAGGGGATGGACTACCCATGGGGAGGAGCCACACAAGGACACCAAGGTTCAGCCCATGGAATGAGCCCCACCCACTGTGGCCCAGGCACTGCCAGCCATCCTTGGGCAGGTTCCTCTGGTCGGTGGATACACAGTCATGGTGCCTACCCCCTGGACCGAAGCCTGTGCTGGAGACCAGGGAGGCAGGAAGGGGAAGGGGAGAGGCGGGTGGGGGGGACAAGGAGGGTGGGGGTACAGAGCAGGTCAGGAGAGACAGGGAAGATGGAGGGGGACAGGGCAGGTGGGGGGCACAGGGTGGGTTGGGGGGACAGGAAGGGTCAGAGGGGAAAGGTGGGTCAGGTGGACGGGATGGGTCAGGGGGACAGGTCAGGTCAGGGGGGCAGGGCAAGGCAGAGGGTAGAGGGCAGGTTGGGGACTGAGGGACAGGCCCCACCTGTCATAGTCCTGGCAGATCTCTCCCACGGCCACCAGGGCTTGCAGGTACTCGTTGGGTTGGAAGGGGTTGATATAGTGCAGGGAGCAGCTGTTGCGGGGGTCACCATTGGAGGCTGTGAAGTCGATGGCCACCTGCAGAGACCCCGGCTCATGAGCTGGGGGCCCCTCTCTCACCTGGGCTGGACTAGGCACCCAGAACCCCCTTCGGCAAGTAGGGGAATGAGCCGTGGGGAGCTGCTTGCAAAGGGGTGCAAACGAGAGCAATTCCGGGGCCTTCCGAGGGCCCAGCTCTGCTGGGGTGGAGGACAGAGGGGAACCTGGGGACAGTGGGCATCCGTCAGTGCTGACCAACGACCCTGAAGCCTGTATCCTCAGGCAGAAACAAGCACCTCTCCAGGGAACGCCAGCCCATGGCTCACAGTGCCATCACACTGAGCCCTGGGCTCATCCAGCAGTGTCCTGGGCCCGGGGCGGGGGTGGCCGGAAGGGACCCAAGGCCATGACCAGGCCCATCCCATCTCTGCGGCCACACTGCCCAGGCAGGGTCTGAGAATTCAAGCCCTGGGCTGGGGTCCCCGAGGACTTCCCCTGCTGGGCCACTTCCCTCAGACCATGGTGGCTGCTGCTCAGGGGAGTGACATGACCCCATGTGTCCATGAATGAGCAAAGAGGTGACACACAGGCAGGGACACCAGGCTCTCTAGCTCCAGGCCAGGCCCACACCAGCAGGGTCCTGTGGCTTCTGGTGCTGGCTACATCCCCTCCCGAGGGAGACCCTCTGTGCCTGTTTCATCTGCATCGGAAGAGTCGCCCCCTGAAGAACCCAGAGCCTGGGCAGGGGGTGTGCAGGACCTCCAGACCCTGCAGAAGTGCCTACTGTACCCATTTATGCTTGTCCGCCCCATCCAGGATGGGGAGGGGCCCCAGGTTCTGCCGGCAGGGCGGGGAGCAGGGTCCTGTGCACTCACTGTGAAGTGGATCTGACAGCCGCCCATGATGTAGTCCAGGAAAGAGTAAACCCTGTAGAACTTCCAGGCAGGGGCGTCAGCAGGGCCCACCCGGGGCACCCCACACCCAGGCACTGAGGCTGGAGCCCCAGGGAGCTGCCCTCCCCCCAGGGTCACCTAACCCCCAGCACCCCCCCACTTCCCTTCTCTGTCACCTCCTCTCCTCCATTCCTCCCACCTCCCTCCCCATTACTGGGGACCACTGGACCTCTGAGATGGGAGGCCTTTGAGGGTCCGTCAGACAATGGGGAGACTTTCAGGGAGGGGCAGTTTCGGTGGGAGCCAGCCCCCAGCCCACTGAGGGTGCGTGGGTGTCTGCAGGCAGGGGGCGCAGCTCACCTTCAGATCTGCCAGGATGACCACCCCGGAGTTCTTGTAATGACGCTTCTTCTGCTTGTATTTGGCGTTCACGCAGTCCCACTGGGCCTGGGGGGCAGGGATAGGCAGACACCCCCACCCCAGAGTGCCAGGGCCCAACACCCACCCCAAGGGGACAGGGAAGCCTCAAACCCCAGCCCAGGGGCACCTGGGGGGCTCCGTCGGTGAAGCGTCTGCCTTCAGCTCAGGTCGTGATCCCGGGGTCCTGGGATGGAGCCCTGCTCAGTGGGGAGGGGAGCCTGCCTCTCCCTCTCCCCCTGCCCCTCCCCCTGCTCCTGCTTTATCTCCCTCTTTCTCAAATAAATCGATAAAATCTTTAAAAAAACAAAACCCAAAACCCCTAGCCCTGAACTGCATTTCTGCTGCTGTACCGAGCGGACTACTGTCCCTGCTCTGGCCCCTGGCAGGCGTGGTCACCACCTATCTTCTTTGGGTTTTCCCAGTAGTAAGAGTTTCCAGAGCAAATCCTGCTCCGGCAGGTGCCCTACCTGCCTCCTTGTGGCTCCTCCCAAGGAACCCTTTGCAGAAGGACCAGAGCTAGGCTTTCACCCCATTCCACCCTGTTTTCGGGGGAAGGGGGAGAGGGGCCCCAGCTCACCTGGTCCTCCCCGAAAGCTTTTTGCATCTCCTCATAGGTGGTGGAGAACTCCCCGATGAAGTCGTGCTTTCCACGGGAGTCGTAATCCCAGACGAGGCACTGGGGAGCCCAGGCCCCCTCAGCCCGCCTGCCCCTCTGGGACCCACACCTGGAGTCCCCATCCCCGCCCCCACCGGCCCCCCATGCTGCCCCACCTTCAGAGGCCGTGTCTCTTGGCCACTGCACAGACTGCTCAGGGTGACCTTGAAAGGCTCCCACGCAGGGCTGAGGTTGTTCTTCACTACCTGGGGGCCAGGAGTAGAGAGGGGTAGTAGGGGTTGGCGGAGTGCTGGCTTGGGCTCCAGGTAGGACCAGGCTTCCGCCCCATTCCTGGACCACTTGGACCCTCTTTCTTTAAATAGCTTTTTTGTTTATTCAGATTAATGCATCTGAAAAGGAAACAGTTTCTCAGTGCTCTCCCTGAGTGTCACCTGCAGTCAGGGACAACAGAACACAGTGGTGGGTTCTAGCGGTGGACGCAGGGCACCAGGGCTGCTGGATCCTGTGGAAAGGGAGATGGATCCTTTCCCTGTCTTCTCATTCCTGTCCCCAAAGCCCTGTGGGAAATGTCAGGCGCAAGGCAGGGAACCCTCACCTCTGTGCGGTACACCAGCTGTTCACTCTGGTCATCGTTGACGCGGTACAGCTCCAGGAAGGGGTCCGACTTGCTGAAGAGGTCCTGTAGGAGGAGCAGAGGCCATGTTTAGCTAAGTGGAGTGGGAGCAGCCCGCCCAGCTCTGCTGGGTTCAGCCTCTATCTCCTTAGTTATGAAATGAGGGCAAGAGCCTCTTAGAGTGATGCAAGGCCCTGCCCTCCCCTCTAGAGACTTCACTGGCTCCCCAGTACCTTTGTAACGTGCATCCCCAGGCCCACCCTCTCTCCAGCTGTGTCTGCACGCTCTCAGCTAGCACCACTTGCCGACCTCCCAGGCTTCCATCCCCCTGGCCAGGGGGTCAGATCCGTGCTCTCTGTGTCCCCACCCCGTGTGAGGAGCCACAGAACCAGGCTCAGAGTCAGGTCCTCTGCTGTCTGGATGGCCACCTCCCTGAGCACATGTCCCCATCATAAAATGTGGCCGCAAGCACCTCTGCCATAGGGAGCATGACCATCAACAGGTGTTTCAGGAAGGGGCCCAGCACACGGGTCATGGCAGAGGGCAGTGACAGGAGCAGCAGTGACAGGAGCAGCCTGCCTGGGCCACATGGCTCCACGCGCTTCTCACTCAGCCTATCACTTGTCTCCCTGCGGCCAGTCCTGTCTGCGGCCTCAGAGTGGAAGGCTCCAGCGGGGGAAGGGCTGCTGTCACTGTCACTGTCAGCACCTTCCCCCCACCCCCACCTTGCAGACACTGCCCTCACCTTATCATCCAGCTTCTGGGCCCTGAAGGAGAGCTCCACGTAGCCGTTGTTCCCGGAGATGTCCTCGGCTATCACCTGGAGGGGAAGCCACGGCTCCGAGCTCCGCAGGCCGGGCCCAGGGGAGGCACCTGGACGCCCGAAGGCAGCCCCTCTGTCCTCCAGGACGCATGGAGGAAGGGGCGGGGGTCCGCAGGGCGGAGGGGCTGGGCAGGAGGGCAGGCGGCCTCACCGTGATGGTGGACTTGCCGGCGTTCCTGCCAAACTTGAGCAGCAGTGCCCGGGTCATCTTCTTCTGGGCCACGATCTGGGAGTGACAACCGTCAGGGAGGGTCAGCCCCTGTCCCCAGGGACCCCGCCCCTGCCCTCAGTCACCCTGGGCAGCCTGGCTCCTCCAAACCTAGGACCCAGGGCCCCATGGCCTCTCCCTGTCCAGTGCGCTCAGTTCCACAGCCTCCTGGAGCTGCCTGCCCCATGTGTCAGGAGAAGAAACAGGGTCAGAGAGGAAGTGACGCCCAGGGCGGGAGGCAGAGCAGTGCCACAGCCAGGCAGGAGCGAACATGCGGCCAGGTCCCTCAGCAGCCCAGGGCAGCCCCGGCCTAGCCCCAGGGCAGCCAGGTGCCTCGAGCAGCGCCTGCCAGCGTGAGGCCAGCGGTTCTGGGCCCTAGCCTGGACTCCCGGGAGGTGCTGCCGGAGGCAGGGGGGTTAAGACAAGACTGGAGTCACCCGCCCACAGCTGTCCACCGGGCCGTGCAGCCTATGGACCATCATTCACTATACTCACGGGTGCTGCACCCTGCTTGTGCCTCCCGTCCTGTTCCCCCACCCACCCCCCGCCTGGCCCCACGGGGATACTGCCCTCATCTGGCCACAAACCCCTAACTGAGGCCCATGAGTTGACACAGAGAAGCTGTGTGCAGCCAGTGGCCCCTGTTCACCAGAGGGCAGGACTGAGGTGGGGGGCACCTGGTCTATAGAAGAGATGGATGATGACAGTCCCTCACCGCTACCAGAGGCTCAATGCCTTCGTAGGGGGACACCCCCCGCTGGTGGCCAAGGAAGACACACACTATTACCATGGAGACAGCAACACTGATGCTCATAAGCACTCACCTAGCCCCACCTCCTCCCAGCTCCTGGAGCTGGGGTGACCATGAGAGGAAGCCAAGTCCACACAGCAGACAGGACATTCCCAACCCACACACCCAGCAGGGGCTCCCTCGCTGACAGAGTCCAAGCACATGGGAACATTCCCTGGTGTCCAGACAGACAGCCCAGGGGTGGGAAAGCTCTCTGCAGAGTGTGAGTGTGAGGGGAGGGAGGCTATGGCCCAAGCCTCCCCGGGTTCCTCCACCCATAAGCTCCATTTCCGGGGCTCTCCTATCAGGACAAATGGGGTAGCTGGTTTGTGAACCAGTTACAGTCGATAGGTGCTTTCTTCTCTTGATCCCCAGAACCATCCACTGAGGTGGCTGATGCTTGGAGATTCAGGCGGAGGTGAGGGACTTCTCAATGTCACACGACGGGGATTGGCAGCCAGTGTCCATACCTTGAGCTCTGTCCACAGTTCCCCTGATGGCCATGCAGGCCTGGTGAGCAGCTTGGAGCACGCTTATTGATGGAACTTTTCATTGTCTAAAGTTTCCATGCCTACCTCGACATGCATGTGCCCATACGTGTTTCTGTAGGTGTCCATGTATCTACACACGCCAGGGGCTTGTGCCCATGTGTGCATGTGGGTCTGTGCATGCAGGTCAATACATGTGTGTTTGTGCATTTCTCCATGTGTGTCTACACGTGTGTCCATGGTGCATGCTATCCTCCCAGGCTCGAGATGGGCAGGTGGGAAGCCACCTGGGTAGAATCCTGCTCTGCGCTGTGCCCCTACTTAATCTCAGTGCTGTCATCTGTAAAATGGGGATGACAGAGGGATCCACCCTCCACCAGCTCCAAACCAGACGGCAATGGGGATGAGTCATGCAGACATCATGTCGGGTAAGAGAAACCGGACACAAATGAGAACACACTGTGTGATTTGTGAACAGGGACTTCTAGAACAGGCGAAACTAGCAGGAATTGGCTGGAGAGGAGGGGATATATGGGGTGATAAAATGTTCTGTGTGAGCCGGGAGATGGTCAGGTAGACAGGTACCTAAACTCATCAACATCCACCCTTTAGGTCTACATGTTCTACTGTAAGTAAATTATGTCTCAGTAAATAAGAAGCCCTCCCCTGACATGCTGGGAGGGAAATATGCAGCGTGAACACTCAGCACACCACCTGGCACTGGGCTGTCTGGGTGGCAGTGGGCAAGCGCTCTTGCTATGCTGCGAATGGAAGAGCTAATGGACAGGATATCACCTGAGGACCGCAGCCTGGGACGGGGTGGTCAGTCTGCCGCAGGGGAAGCAAGGACACCTCTATGTGCCAAGGTGGAACGGCTCTCTTATGCCATGAAAGTGAAGAAAGCAAGTTGCAGAACAGCGTATGTAGTTTGTGTTTTAAAATATATACACGGAGAAAAAAATATACACTCATTTCATCACATGAGAACACAAAGTCCAGGAAAAGGCCAGAGGTAGACATTCCATGACATGCCTTTCATACTCTCCAAACGCTGAATTATATGAATGCACTACCCCATTCAAAATCACATCTTTTTAAAACTAATAGGAAATTTTTAAGAGAAGTCACTATGGAGACAGACAGAGCAGGATGCTCGTCCCAGAGGGACCTCTGAGGCACTTCTCCATCAGGCCATCCCCATGCCACCCAGGCCATCATGCCAGCACTCAGTGTTAGCCCAGGGGTGCTCTCCTGACCCCTCCCTCCCCAGGGGACCAGATGCCCACCTGCCCCAAGGTACACTCCATGCCCCCGAGGAAGTCATCATCCTGACAGCCGAGGTTGCTGGGTCCATGGGTGTCATATACCTCGAAACGCAGCTTCTGTGCCTCCTCAAAGTAGTAGTCAAGTGTGAAGACCTTGGAGAACACGGGGTGCAGGCTGCTCCGGACCACTTCTGTTCTGTCCACCTGAAAGCAGCCCAGGGTGAGGGGTCCATGGGACAGCAGCTTCCACACTGGTGCCCCCCAGGGCCCTGTGCCCCCAGCTCTGGCCCGCAGAGTCCATGCACCTGCCCTCAGGTGCTCCTGGAGGGCTTGCTCCAGGCCGCACCCTGGGAAGGCCCCCCGCCTCCCCACCAATCCACATTCCAGGCCTCAGGATTCTAGCTCCCTCCTGCTGCTGGGGGCTTCCAGGAGCCTTGGGCACCTGCCCCCCTGGAGAGAAAGGCCCACAGCCCGGGCTAGCCATAGGCTGCAGCTTCTCTTGTCATGCCCAGAACAGCCCGCTCTATCCCCATCACAACTGGGGAGGCTTGGAGAACGGCGGGGTCCTGTGCAGAAGCAGTCCAAGTTAGGGCAGAACCAGGTCAGAATTCTGGGCTGGGCAAAGCCAGGTGGAGATCTCCCCGCAACCAGACAGGCAGGGAGACTGGGTAGGAGTCCAGATTCCCCCTGAGTTCAGCTCTTCCTCCAACATAGGCCTACCCGTGCCCCTAAAGCACAGTCCAGCCTAGGCAGGCAGGTCTGCCACCCTCCAAAGTCCACAAACCCCACATCCTCAGATGGAGGGTCTGTTCCGCCTCGAGGGACATCTGCACCAGACAGAGCTCAGGCCAAGCAGCAGAAGCTAATGGCGGCTTATGGTACAGAGAGCCCTGCTCCAGATCCTCCCAGTGTCCCCATCACCATGCAGACACTGGGCTGCAGTGTCCCCTCTGCCTCTGCGGTCCGTGACCGACAGGGTTCGGCAGCCCCAGGAGGCTGTGGTCAAGAGACCACAAGGAACAGCATGAGGTCGCAACCTGGGGGAGCAGAGCCAGGCTGAGGAAGCTGGAGACTGGGGCTGCCAAGACTGCCCCACAAAGGTCGGGCCAACGTGTCTGCCTCCCCCTTGTCCTGCCCAACTCCCCAACCTGGGTCTCCAGCAGAGAACATGGTGCAGGGGGGGTTGTCCTCCCCGCCCCACTGCCCCACCCAGAACCCTGCACTGCCACCAAAGCCAGGGGGTGTGCCAGAGCGTGGGGAGGGACCCCTCAATGCCACCATGGCCCCAACCCTAACCTCACTGGCCCACACCAGGCGTTTGTTGGTCTTGCGAGGTGAAGCACACATCTCACAGGAGACAAAGTGCTTTGTCGCTGCACAGCCCTCTGAGCTGTCACCCAACTGGCCCACAGGGAGGGTTGGGCCGGGGGTGACAAGGGGCATCAGGCCACACAGGCACCCCAGTGACCCCCCCCCGGGACCAGAGGGTGTCAAAGGGAGAAACAGGTCCGTGGAGCTGACCCAGCCCAGCCCGGTCACTCTGGGCTTGCTGGGGACTCCCAGTGCCACGGCAGAAGAGCAGGTGACAGGCTGGGAGCCCTCCAGGGGGGTTGGGGCCAAATCTCTAGCTCCTCCAGCGCACCGGCCTCACTCAGCCACTTCCCACTCCCCCCGGCAGCCCCACAAGCCCCTTCCTGCTCCCTGCCCGGTCTGGGTGCCTCTGCCCTCTGGATGAGGACTTGGCAGGCCAGCGGGGGACCCCCAGGCCAGGCCAGCCTTGCATTCCCCCCGGCCACACCACTCTCTCCTGCACCCCCCACTCCCTTCTGCGCTCTTGCCAGCACGGTCAAGCCTGGGTGCCTCACGCAGGCATCGAAACCCCACGTGGGACCCTTCTCGCGCCCCCACTCTGGTGCTCCCTCTCTCTCCCTGGGGCTCTGGCCACCCCCCTTTCTGGACACGGATTCTCTAGACTTGGTCACCCCAGCCTTGAGCCTGCCCTGCACCCTACCCACCTCGGTCTGGGGGTCCTCGTCGCCCCCCTACCTGCACCCACTGGCCCTGGGACTGTAGCAGCAGCACCACGCTGGGGTCGGACTTGGTGAGCGGGTCGCGGTCCAGCAGGTGCCGGCAGCTCAGCCGCAGCTCCACCTTGGAGGCGCAGGGCGCGGGCAGCACTCCGGGGGGCGCCGCCGCCCCGCGCTCCCAGCTCGAGCTCATGCTCCCGGCGCCAGCGCTCGGGGACTCGGCTGGGCACACCACCGAGGGGCCGCTCCGGTCCGCACCGCCGCCGCTCGGGAATGATGGCCGGGCCAGGCGTGGCCGCGCTTCCCTGCACGCCCGCCGGGCGCCGACACACGTGGCTCCCGCGGCCGCCACCACGCGGGGAATGCAGAAGGGTGGCCGGGGAGGGGGACTGAGGAGGGGACGGGGAAGGGGCGATGGGGGGAGGGTGGAGGAGGGGGAATCATGCAGAGGCAGGGAGGGGTCTGCCGGAGGCCTGAGCCAGCTCTGCTCCCGTGTCCCCCTGGGGTTCCCAGGGTTCAAGCTCCCTCCTGGGAGGCCAAAGCCCAGAGGTTTGGCGCCCTCCAGATTGGGTGCACTCCCACCGGCTGTGGGGGCGGCGTCCTCTCCTGGCTGTCTCAGGGCCTGGCAGTAAGGGTCCAGAACTTCCAGGCCCCTTGGTGAGGTGAGGGGGGCAGCTGGACCCCCAGTTCAGCACCACATCCCCGTGCTCCTCCCCACATCTTGGACCCCATGTCGAGGGCACATGGTGATGCAGCATCTCAATCAACAGGCATTTCACAGGCACCTAATGTGTGTTGGGCGCCCCCACCCCAGGCTGGCGCTGGAAATGAAGGGACAGGTCCCCGCTTCCCCAGAACTTGTAGTCCAAGACCAGGGATAGCCCCTCGCTGCCCTGGGTGTCAGAACCCCCCTGCCACCCACACCTCTGCCCTGCAGCCAGATGGGAGCAGCCCTGGGCTCCATGGAGGGGGGGGGAACACTCTACTCTGCCCTGGAACACCTGACGGAAGCTCTGCAGAAGAGGAGGTGTTAACAGATGCAGAAACTGCCTCCCAACCCATTCTCTTTGCCAATTTTTTCCTAAAATAGGGCACAGACCTGGCCAGAAGCCATAGGGGGCAGGGGACAAGAAGAGAGCTCAGGGAGGGCCTGAGGACCAGGGGAGCAGAGACTGGATCTCTGGTGTGCTAGGTTCTGTGTCCTCGGGCTGATCAGGGCTCAGCCTTGGCCTCCAGGACCACAGAAGATTATGGGGTCAGAGGGCCCAATAAGGACCTGACAGGTATGCTCCGGGATGGGTCAGGCTGCCTCCGCCAGGTAGTCCCTGTGAGCGGACAGCATCCCTGGCGGTGAGATGGCGGGATTGCACCCCCGGCACATCTGGAAGGCACAGACCAGGTGCCCAGTTTGCAGAAGGAAAATCCTTGCCGCCTGGCTGAGTGAGCTGGACTCCAGCGCAGGGGCTCACGGTCCAGGCATCTGGCTCCAGAGGCAAGTGACAGTGAGACACAGAGGGATGTGAGGCCGGTCAGCGGCCCCTTATTCTGCTTCCTCCAGCCTCTGTGACACTCCTCAGAAGCTGGCCCAGGTGCACACAGCTGTGGAAAACAGCTGACCAGGGCTAGCTGCTCTGTTGGGACCAGTCTGGAGCTCCTGTGGGCCCTCTAGCCCTGCATCGATCCCAGCCCCAGCCTCCCAGAACTGAGAGGGGTCACAAGGTTGAGCCTGCCAGCCATGCATGTGGCTTGTGGTGGTGGCTCCCGGGCTTACAGGGCCCCAGGCCTCCCAGCACCCACTTCTCCAGGACACCTGCCCCAACTGCATTCTGGGAGAGGCTCCTTGGCCTCTGTGAACTTCCATGGGGATAAGGGTGCGAAATAAGGGCAAGGAGCTGGGCTCAGCTGGGCACCCGGCCCCACACAGGAAGGCTCCTTGGTCTCCTCGGGAGGCTTTGCCCAGATGACTGGCTCCCCCAGGCTCAACTTCCAGACTTGACCACTGCAACTGATGCAAATAGATCTGCCACCGCTGTGCACACTGCATGCTGATTGCAGGGTGTGATGCCACGTGATGCTCACAACAGCCCCATTTCACAGATGAGGAAAAGGCATACCCCGAAATTCAGTGACTTGCCCTAGGGCAAACGGCTCGCAGGTGCAGTCCCTACACACTCGACTCCACAGGAAGTAACAGGCAACATTTCCGCTGACAGAGAGAGAGGAAAGAGAATTCAGAGTTTGGGAGTTCAAGTATCTGAGGTCCAGAGATTTTTCACGGACCCACTGGGTCTCCAGTTGGAGACTCCCAGGATGTGGCTGCCTCTGCAGTGTGATTCAGGGCAGACGGCGTGCATGGCAAGGAACCGCAGAAAAGCAGATTCCCTGTAACCCTGGTCTGTGATGCCTAGGCCTATGTGGCCTTCCCAAGGCCCCAGAACAGGCAGCAGGGTGGTAGAGCCATCTGCTCGCTGCTAGCCCACATGGGTCCTGGGATTGATGAGTGGGGCGGGGGGTGGGGGGGCAGCTCCCGTGGCCAGCCTCGGGAACAAGACCCTCGCTCATCATTTTGTTATTATTGTTCGGCAAAGAAGAGTACAGGCCCTTGTTGGAGTCACACAATGTGGAGGGGCCCGTGGGCAGGAAAGTTCTAGCGCCCAGCCACAGACATGGCTGCTGTGCGGGTAGGTGGCCTTCTATCCCCGTTTCTGTGAGCATCTGTTCGTGAGCCTTCTCCACCATTGTCGCCAGCATCTGAGCCACAGCTTGTTCATTAGGCGGCCCATCCCTGCCGTGTCTGCTGCCCCGGGGCTGTGCCTGGCATCTGGCCTCTGGCACCTGCTCAGGACGCGTTTGCGGGACAAGCGGGGCGTACAAAGTCTGCGCTGTGTAACCACTTGTTTGTGTCATGAGCAAGCCTTTATGGCCTTCTTTCATGCCGACGATGGAATACTTGTGCCCTCTCCAGTCCACATGTGGAGATCCTGCCCCGCACTGTGGAATCATTGCCCTGACCCAGGAGAGCCCCCAGAGCTCCCGTGCCCCTTCCACCTGAGGATGCTGCAGCAGGGTAGGGAGAGGCTCCTGCAGGCACCCTGGTCCTCGGCGTGCAGCCTCCTGGACCGTGAGGAACCAATGTTTGCTGCCGGGAACCCTATCTGGGGTGTCCTGGTGCTCAGAAGCCCAAGCACACTGACTTTCTACCTCAATAAAAGTAGGCCTACAGTGGGGTGCCAGGGAGCTTCAGCCCTCCAGGCCCTAAGTCTGGCAGCTGCCTGTTTTGTAAATAAAGTTTAATTGGAACACACCTGGCCATCCATCATGTCCCTCACATCGTCTGCAGTTGGTTTTGCCCCGAGGGCAGAGCTCAGTGGCTGGGACACGGAGCCCACATGACTAGGAGGCCTGAAATACTCACTAGCTGTTCCTTTAAGATGTTTGACATGGCCTGGTCTCGCCATCAGTGAGGGGCACCCCACACCCACTGCTTCACCCCTGCAGCTGTTCACCCTGAACCTGCCAGCCCAGGGACGAGCTGACCGAACCAACCATTCCTAATGTGTCAAACTAACTCCCATGTGTCTCTTGCGATGCTTCCAAATCGTGAAGTTTCAGAGCAACAAGGAGGCAGTCTTGCTTCGAACAGCTAGTGTTTCCAGCCACGGGGGGTTCCACCAGCCTCCAGCATCCCTCCGGGAGCTCCTGGGCTCTAGCCTCACAGCACTGGCCTCAAGTAACTTCCAGAACCACTCTGCACCTCTGTCCCCTACCTGGAAAGTGAGGCAAGGCCTGTGCATGAATGACATGCTGCAGGCCCAGGGCAAGTCCCCGTGTGTGGGCCTCAGAGGTGGGGAGGGTCCACCTGCCACACATCCCACCCCTTGGTCTTGCTCCTCATCGGGACCGAGGATGCAGTTCACCTCCCAGCAAGCCAGGAGGTTGACACTGTAGGAGCAGGGCTGGGGCAGGTGGTGCCAACAGGATTTTCAGGAAGGGAACATGTTCCATATGTCTGGCTAGTGCTTCCTTTTATAAGCTGGTTGCAAACCTACCTTCCTCTTTTATTTCTTTCCTCCCAAGAAAAAGATGAAAAATTTCATCTCAGAACATCTGCAACCTTCTCGATTGTTTTCCTGTAAGATTTGGCATTTATCTTGCTTCAGAAATCAGATAGTCACACCTAGAAGGGCCACCTTGACTGGAGAAGCACACAGGCCTGCGGTCCTGGCTAGGCCTTGGATCTTGGGCCACTCCTTATTTCAGCATTGAGAGCTGGGCCTGAGGCAGGGTTGGTGGGACATTTCTACACACACACACCCCAAAGACACACACGGGACGTGGACACACAGGCAGACATGCGTGAGCACTAGCATGTTCATGCTCAAGGAGTCCTGACCTCCAAGGGTACCGTGGCCCTTACCTTGGTGCCATCTCCTGTTCAGTCCCTGGCTGCCGGTGTCCCTGCCAGGCAGGTGATGTCAACGAGGTGACCACAGCTCAGAGAGGGTGATGGCTTGCCTGAGGTCACACAGTGGGAACAGAGCTAGCATTCTACTTAGATGCCACTCTTGCACGCAGAACGCAGAACTCGGGATCCCTGGGTGGCACAGCGGTTTGGCGCCTGCCTTTGGCCCAGGGCGTGATCTTGGAGACCCGGGTCGGGCTCGCGGTGCATGGAGCCTGCTTCTCCCTCTGCCTATGTCTCTGCCTCTCTCTCTCTCTCTCTATCATAAATAAATAAAAATTAAAAAAAAAAAAAAAAGAACGCAGAACTCAAGCCTTCCTGGGCCCGTCCTGACCCCCCGTGTATCTCAGTGGCTTTGCTATTGCCTCACCCCCTGAAAAGTCACAGCCATCTCGGAGGGCACAGAGCACTTGCTGTGGGCAGGGCCACCTGAGCCCCTTTGCCATCAGTCCAATGGGGCGGCCAGGACACCTGCCACAGGGCCACAGTCCAGGTGCTGTCCAGAACCAGCTGTCCCCCTCCTGAGTTTCCCAGACCCAGGAGACCTTCTGTGCTCAGCGCTTGTCCTGCTTCCCCAGGGCTGGGGAGCTGAAGGTGCGGGAGGATGTTGGGAGATGGAGAACCCAGAAGGAGCCATGGCAATCTAACGTCTGTGTGACCTAACCTCAGCCTGATGTCCTTCGCTCTGTCCAAGTAGAAGCAAGCACATGTCAGGGGCAGCATTTGACCAGGACATGAGGTCAGCGGTCAGGGACCATGGGGCCAGAGTAGGAGCAGGGGGCCATGAGGACACAGTTGCCCGCAGGTCCCTGAGGCAGTGACGGCAGTGTGGGTCAGGGTGGGAGCAGGGTCCATGGGGCT